GATGAACCCCTTACTCAATATGATTTGGTTGTTCATGAAGAACAAACTCAAGATCCTCAAGAACCTGTGCATCATGAGTTAATAACTTTGCAGAGATCCACTAGAGAAAGAAGAAGTGCTATTTCGGATTATTACATGGTATTTCTTCAGGAACATGAGAAAAATAATGACATAATGGAAGAGGACCCGGTTAACTTCCGTCAAGCTATACAAGGTTCTAACTCTCAAAAGTGGATTGAAGCAATGAAGGAGAAGTATAAGTCCATGCAAGACAATAAGGTTTGGGAACTTGTCTCATTACCAGAAGGTATGAAACTCATTTGGTTTCAAGATGAATATTGTTGATGATTGTATGTATCACAAGTTTAAAGGGAGACAAGTTTAGTCTTAATCAGTGCCCAAAGGGAAATTTGGAAATTGAGGAAATGCAAAAGATTCCCTATGCATCAGTTGTAGGGAGTTTGATCTATGCCCAAGTATGTACGCATCCAGACATAACATATATAGTTGGGGTTCTAAGCAAATATTTAAGCAATCCAGGAATAGACCATTGAAAAGCAGCAAAAAGGGTCATAAGATATTTAAAGAGAACAAAAGATTATATGCTCACATATAGGAGGTCAGACCAGTTGGAGATCGCTGGGTTTTCTTACTCAGATTTTGTAGGATGTCAAGAATTTGTAACATGCTATGAGGCATCAAATCATGGAATATGGCTGAGAAATTTTGTCACAGGGCTGCAAATTGTGAAAGGCATTGAAAGACCACTTAAGTTATATTGTGACAATAAATCAGCTGTATTGTTAAGGAAAGAGTACAAAGTGGACAGATTTCCATAGAACACTTAAGGACAAACTCCATGATAGCATATCCTCTAACTAAAGGACTTCCGCCCAAGGTCTTTCATGAGCATGTTGCTCACATGGGTGTTTTACAGTTTGAGGAATTTGTGGTTTAGTGGGAGTTAGTCACTTTCATATATTTTATGTTCTATGTTTAATTTCATATATGTATACATTGATTTTTGAACATATTTGGTTATCTATAGATATGCGGGTTTTTCGTTCATTCATTACACTTTGTACATTAAGGATATTATATCGATCTTAATAAGTTAAAGTTTGGACCAGTTGAAAATAGACATATACAGATCACCTTCACGTAATTTTTCATGCTACACATTTCATGATGAATCCATGTCATTTGGTTATGTTAGGATGAGCAATCATTGTTGGTTTTAGTTGCGATGATACAATGAAAAGTTGGTTTGGTTCTATATCCTGATATGATTAATGGACAGGACTTTTGGAGTATGCTAAAGGAATATAATGGAAATTTTGAGCTCATAAAGTCTAACACATTTGTAAGGTTGTAAGGACATATATATTTGTGACCAGTGGGAGATTGTTGGCAAATTTTGGGTCATGTATATATATGATACATAATTTAAATGTGTTAGGGTCATTATTTATTAAGCCAAATAATAAAGTGATCTGACTAAATTAAAGTTTTGGCTAAAGGCATATGTCATGAAAATAAAATTGTGTAGAGACCATTGAGCAATTTCTAATTTGATGAGGGACCAAATTGGAAATACTAAAACTTAAGTAATTAACCTAATTCTGGTTATTTTAAGGGGTCGTGGTCCCCTTCTGGGAGCACACACACAGAACGTAAGTATCAGTCCCGTTCCTTTCTTTCTATCCCCATCAAGAGAGAAAATCAAGAGGGAAATACAGGTGCTCTTCAGGTGGAAGACCATAAGATCAATATAGTGCTCTACAAAGACATCATTATTATGACTAATTCAAGTACGCTTTCGCATTCAGTTTACAAGCATGTTTATCGAGTATGGGATTATGTTTATGTTTGATCGTTAGAATCAAAATCAGGATTATTATTATTATTATTATTATTATTATTATTATTAATTTTCCAACATGGAGTGCCTGCCCCATACATAAGTCAAAAGAGAATCTTGATAGAATCAATAAGAAAGCTCATTGGAATGAAACATGTACCTCATTGATAATAATTAAGGATGACAAAACGAGTTAAGTCCGACGTACCAGCTCGACAGTCCACTGTAATATGGCGGGGTTGATTAGTATTTTCAGTCTGCTAGCCCGTTCTTGCTCGTCTTACCAAATCCGCTAACCCGTCGGGCAAGCCCCGGGATGGGATGGGCCAACCTGCAACCCGCCTAATTAATAAAAAAATAATTTTTTTATTGTAATACAGTTAATCTAAAGATAATATATAAAATTAAAAATTTTTAAAAAATAATTAAAAAAGTCTTACTCTCACTTATTATAGGAAATATTCTCGTTACTTAAACACAAGCTCGTCTTTCCTCTTCTCCTTCCTCATCATCTTCTCCTTGTTCATCCTAAACACTGATGGTTTATATCCTTATGACTTGAATTAAAGGTGTAAGAGTTACTCAAAGGGAAAATAACTTGAAGTTTTATCAAATAAAAAATATATAGATATTTAAATTTTTCAATATAAAAAATATAAATTTTACTAGTTTTGATGTTATTTATATGTATTTGTTATTATTTATTATTATATAAAATTTATTATTGTTCTAAATTATAGTTTTTTAAAATAATGTGTTGATTTATATTATTAACTTAAAATATATATGTTGAATTATTGACAAACAAATGATAATTTGAAAATTTTGAATTTAAAAAAAAATCATTTTTTTAAATTATGGCCAGATCAATTTGTCAATTCACTCTTTCGTAGAGATGAGTCAAGATCTATAGTCCGTCATGACTATAATGAGTTAGCATATTTTATCCCGTTTATTACAGTTAAGAAAAAATGAGACGAATTGGTCCATTTTACCATCTAATAATAATAAAAAATACTATTCATATATTATTTTTTTTTAATTTCCATATAATAAAAAAGTTATAAGAATTGAAAAAGAGAAATGTATATTAAATATTATTAAAAAAATTCCCAAAAATAACAATCAGATGATATTTAGATAAAAATATAATTTTCTTTTCGTGTAAAAAGTTCACATAAATCTAAAATATGATGTAATCAAAATCTAAAATAATATCAATTTGGGGATGGAAGTCTAGTGAGATAATCGTTGATTGAGAAAGAAAGTTTTTGCGCTTAGGATCCTGAGAGCAACATTCTTGTTTTATTTTAAAAGACGGACAAGTAAGCCTTTCTTTATTACGATCATATGGATCTTTTTTGGTGACTTTTCTTTCCATAGGCATACATTGTAGTCTAACCAACTTTCTAATTTTAGGGGACCGAATTATATTTTACATAATTAAATTAATTTATTAATCAATTCTAACAAATACTACTTATATTTTTTTTCACTCTAATTATAATTTTAGAGGGACGTTAATTTGCTCATCCATGAAATAATAATATTTTTATGATTTGTTAATTATTCAAAATTGATCGATGAAAAGTTTCAAATTAATAGCGACACATGAATTGATTCTATTGAAGCCTTTATATTATACTTTTGTCAACCTATTTAACAGGGAATGATTCATATTTAATATAATATATATGAGTTTGATGGAACACTAATAAAATTTAAACCATTGTTAATTATATATTTAAAACTTGTATTTATCTTTGCTTTAAAGTTGATGAATATATTTATAATTTTTGAAAATATGTAATTTTAGTTTTTGTTATACTTAAATTTATGATTTTATGATATTTTCTTTTACAATCACATAATTAATAAAAAATAAATATATAATATAATTTTAGTTTTTCGTAACAAAATTTATGAAATAATAAAATTCACATGTTTATAATATTAGAAAATTTATTAACCAATTTTAAAATATGAAAACTGAAACTAAATTTTTGAAAGAAGTACACAACAAAAATATATATCACAATTATATATAAGAGGATTATAATTATCACATAATTAAAGAACATCACATGGATATTATATTTAATTGTAAGATATTTCCTTATTTATTGGACGGACCTCTTATTCGTTTAGATTTGAAATTAACTTCCATAAAATCAATTTGAAATCTTTAAATGTGATTAAAATATACGTAAATGGCTTAAATATATATTTCTAACAACCATTTTTCTTTTACTTCTTTTAATTTCTTTTTTAATGAAATATAATTTTATGCCTTTTATAAACATTCGTTTAAAACCCTCAATAAATCTTAGTTATAAATATGTTTATACATAAATAAAGAACAAATATTCATCCTAAAGATATGGTGTCTTTTAATCCATAATTTACCTATCATTTATATCCGTAATTAACATTTAAATTTCTAATTTTAACTAACCAATATAATCAAGATGACACCAAAGAGATAAATATAATAATAATGATAATATTATTATTGACATATATAATGTTTATAATATAATATAATAAGATTACTTAATATAATATCTACATTATATATATATATATATATATATATATATATATATATATATAAATCTAAAATAAGATATAAATAATAATAATAATAGTAATAACTGAGGTCCAATCAATCATAATAAATACCCTCGTTGGAATTACTGTCATGATTAATTATTTTATCATAATTAATTATATAAAATAATCTTTATAATAAAATATATCAGGTAAAAGAATATTTTACCATAATTTTTTTATATTTTTAAAAATAAAAATATAAAAGTATCTGTAATTAATTATAAATGAATATTATACATAATCATATTGTATCATACATGATTAAACTTTACAAATTAAATTATAAATAAGGTTGAATTGCAACAGTGGCAAAAAAAGAAAGATACGATTAGATTGAAATCTTCTCTAAATTGGACATGGAACAAGATTTATCATATATATTTAATCTTTATTAGGTACGAAATTTTGTGATAATCAATCACTATAAAAGGTGGTTATTCGTTCTTCTTCTCCATCCATTGTTTATTTCGTGTTTTTATTCTTGTTTGGACAAACACCTTGCAAGTAAAGAAATATACAGTGAAATATGGCTTTCTCTCATGGTCCTGTAATGAAACGATCAGTGTGGGCGTTTAATCTTGAAGCAGAGTTTGAATTGATTCGTTCCGTCATTGCCTCTTATCCTCTCATTTCGATGGATACGGAGTTTCCTGGCATCGTCTTTAACTCTCATCCTGCTTTTCGACAACCGCACAATAACTATGCCGTCATGAAAGCTAACGTTGATCACATGCACCTTATCCAAGTAGGCCTCACCCTCTCAGACAGCCATGGTAACCTTCCAAACTTTGGAACTTCCAACCAATTCATATGGGAATTCAACTTTTGTGAATTTGACATGACCCGTGATCTCTATGCACCTGATTCCATCGCACTCCTTCGACGTCAAGGCGTCGATTTTGAGAAGAATCGTATGTTTGGAGTCAACATTATGCGTTTTGTTGAACTCATGATGTTCTCTGGACTCGTGTGCAACAACAACATTCAATGGATTGGTTTTCATAATGCTTACGATTTTGGGTACATGGTGAAGGCTTTAGGCCAACGTTTTTTGCCTATGCAACCATGTTTGCCTGAAAACTTGTGTCACTTTTTGGAGCTGGTTAAATTTTTCTTTGGAGACAAAGTTTACGATATTAAACATCTCATCAAATTTTGCCCCAACCTTTATGGTGGTTTAGACAGTGTCTGCAAGTCGCTACATTTAAACAAAACTATTAGAAGATCACATCAAGCGGGATCAGATAGTTTAGTCACTTTACATGTTTTTAACAAGATCAAAGATATCTATTTTCATTATGAAAATGATTATAGTATGACCAAATATGCAGGTATTCTATTTGGCTTAGAGATTATTTGATGTACATTATAGAATGTCGTGTTATACAATGTTTTGTATATTTCTTCTTTTTTGGATCAATATGTAAGTGTTTTTGGATCAATATGTATGTGTTTTTGGATCAATAATAAGACAATGTTTTTACTTTATCATCTTCTGTATTTTATTATGTTGTTAGTTCACAATAAAAGAGTAAGGTATCTCCATATTCAATTGTGAAGACCCAAAACTGAATAATTGAAGAGCATGGGTTCATACATTTTATTATTTGGCGGGAAAGACTTTTTCTTTATCGAAATTAAAATATAAATAAAAAAATTTAAAAATTTATTCTATTATTTTAATTTTACATAAATTTAGTTAGAAATAATAACTAATTTAAATTTCGTTTAACAACATTACATGGTCTCTGTCTTATAATTATTATAATAATATTCTTAAAATTTATTATTATTATTATAATTTATTAAAATTTTATTTTTTTTAAATGTCTAAAAAAATATATAAATTATATAATTCTATCGAAGCAATTGTTTTAAGCGGCACATGGAAGGGGCAGCGTAATTGTGAGTTTGGATTGGATTGTTATAACTTATTTCAATCCGAACTGAAATATTTTTTTAATAAAAAAGTCATATTACCCTTATTAAATAATTTAAAAAAGTCACCGATTGGTTTATTTGAGATTGCAGCGATGGGCTGTAATAATCATCGTACAAACCTTAACATAATAATAAATCTTTGACGGTTCGGAGGATGATTTCAATTTGGATAAAATATTATATTATATTACGAAAACAAGAAGAAACAGTCTACTTGAACAAAATGTTACCAAAATCTTCACTATCAATATAGTTTTCATATACACAGAGATTTTTTTTTTCATTTTTATATCCCTCATATTTTATCTCTCTTGTATACAAAAATGTTTTATTGCAGTACTTTAGCTGAAATCTTATTGTTTGTATATGACTAGAATATTATCGATATCTAAAAATCTTCTTTTTTAACTTAGAATGTTGTTAAATATATATTACAATTTTTAAAAAATATATTATTAAAACACTTATTCTACACTTATTATATAATAAAAATATATAATTTTATTAATTCAATTAGATCTTGATTGAATCTAGATTAAATTTTTAAACTTTGAACTTATGTCTTCACATTTCATTTATTTGTTCGATTTTAAAAATATTAAATTTATTTTAGTTCTTAAAAATATTTTAATGTTTCTTGTTACAATATGTCACAAAGCAATTGTTATTTCCAGTTACTTGTGCAATATCATGCTTAATATAGATTATTGCATATATTAGATTTTTCATTATTAATGTATACCGTATTCAAGATATTTTCTCTTTACTTCGTCCTTAAGTCACATACTTGAGGATAATTTTTAAGCGATAAGAAATGGAGTAAATATTGTCTTATAGTATAGTGAAACATCATAATACTTTCCTTAGATAGTTCGTATTAGACAACAATTATATCTATCTTTCATGTTTTAGTGAATTTATATCCCTAAAATTTTATTTGTTAGCTCGAAGTTCTTCATGTCAAACTTTCTTATCAATTGTGTTACATACAACTACAAAATGATGAAATAATAATCACAAAGCCTATTGTAATATGTATGATGATTTCAATCTAGTCTATTTTATTCAAGAATAATAATGAAAGAATAAGTTTCTTGTACCATCTAAGCATTTTCTTCAAGACGTACAATTTGGTCAACTTGCAACTAAGTTTTCTTCTTCTTCTTTTTTCTTCAAAGTCTTATTGGTAGAGCATATATATTTCTTCTTCTATTTTTTCATAGTCTTTACATCTAACTATTCAATATGTAAATCAAATGCAACACATATAGTCAGTACTACTTTAATAGCAATAAATCACAATTGGAAAAAATATTTCATTTCAATCAATGATTTCTTTTTTAGCATATCATTTAACCATTAATTTTGCACAATCTTGTTTCACTTAATCATTGTCATCTCATTTGATCTTTCATACCCATTTGTTTTCAATGATTTTATGACCTTCTACAAGTTCTCATCTCATTTCTATGGAAGATCTCCATTTATTCAAACATTGTTGATACACATAGATAAGCATTTGAACTATTAATTACTTCTTGAAATGTGGACAATTTGTCTATTCTTGTAAGAATACAATATTAATCATGGCCTAAAAAAACATGGTCTAAGAATTGTTACAGTATTTGTGTCTAGCGTGTGCTTCATCATGGTGGAAAATGAAAGTGTGAATTTAAGTCCCACATTGAGTAAGAATGAAAAAGTTGAGCAACATATGAGGAAGAAAGACCCACAATCTAATACCTTAAGGTTTTGGGTTGAAAATGGTGTCAATCATTTATGTAGATTGGATTCATGTCTCGTTAATGTTATCTCTTTCCAATGAATCCCTTTGAAATACCCATGGTATCAGAACCAGGTAAACATGTCCCGTTATGATGAACGATAGTACAAGAAAAGATCACTAGGGAGATCGATGAGATGTATCAATCTGAAGAGACTTACACTTGAGGGGAAGGTTATTAGAAAATCCAAGTGTGAGTCTAAGTCCCACATTGAATAAGAATGAGAAAATTGAGTAACATATAAGAAAAAAAGACACACAACCTAATGTCTTAAGGTTTTGGGTTGAAGATAATGTTAATATCTAATGTGAGTTAGATTTATGTCTCATTGGTATTATTTCTTTACAATAGATCCCATTGAAAGACCTACCACATCAAACATTTACATTATCGACCTCATTTGATTTCTGTGCCTCGTGCTTAACTTTTGGTTAAGAAGAAACATCCCTTATAGATTTTTTCATCTCTTTATACAATAGTCATCTTTGTAACTGTGTTATCACACCCTTGTTCAATTCTCACTTCATTATATACAATGTTCACATCTCTATTAACAACAACTTTGCAAATATGTCCTACGATAACACTATCAACATACTCTAAGAATATACACTTCCTTGATGTTGGATCTAATTTTCTATGTTAAGAGTTGTACATCACATACATAAGACATCTAAACATATATAAAGAAGAGTAATTTGTTTATTTTCCTTTCCAAATCTTAATTGGCATCTTGAAATCAATCGTAGTTAATGGTGAACGATTAAACATGTAACAAAAAACTTTTACCACTTTTACCCAAATGAATTTGGTCAAATATGTTATCCTCACCATAGCTTTCTCCCTTTCTAGAAGAGTTTTATTTATCTATTCTACTACACTATTTATTTGTTAGATAAAATTAAATAAAAAATAATATGTTTAAATATTAGTTGGAATATCTTGATTTTACATATATTTTGAGCAATTACAATTCTAGATAGTTATTGTTTTTATGGGAAGTTAAAACAAAAAGTTCATTCTGAATCTATAAATACTCAGTTGTATCATTTAGTTTTCACACCACCAAAATCACTAACATTTACCTTTTTAAGTCTTTTTGTTATCAAATTATTATTAGGAGTTATAGGGTTTGAGTATTTAAGCATGAGAGAGCTTGAAGAAAGTGATTGTTGGTCTATAGGGGTGTCAATATGGGTTGTAATCCGTGAGTCAACCTGGTTCACCACGAGTTCAAGCTAGGTTGGGTTCAATTTTTTCATTTTAAATTTTAAAAATAATTATAATAACCCTAATTGATGTTATCTTGCATCTTCACATCTCCTCCATGTCACCGCTACAAGTCAAACCTTCATTCAATCTTATCATTAATTATCTATCGCACCACTAAACATAATCGCATTCACTGCATTCGTTAGCGCCACCACGCTACCATGCTTTAGTTGCACCATAGCATATCATAACGTTTACCGTGCCACCACGCCATTATGTTTAGTCTCGTAATTCGATTGTGCTTATTAGAAAAAAAAATTGAAAAAAAAAATGGGTTAGTGAGTCAACCCACCAAACCCATCAATCCGTAGTGAGTTGAGTCAGGTTGTGAAATGTTTGACTTGTCATAAAGTATGTCGAGTTGAACTCATCTATTTTCAGTTTAACTCGTGTTGAGACAACCCGTGTGAGTCGGGTTGACTCACTTTGACACCCTTAAGTTTAACAAATAGGGTGGCCCTATCCTGGTTGAAAAAAGCAGTCAAGTATGAAAATTGGAGTCTCCAAATGAAGGTCATTCTGAGATCCCAAATTAATTGGAAAATAGTCAAGGATGGTTTTGAAGAATCATAAAACACTGAAGGAATTTTGGCATTTGCAAACAAAGCATTGAAAGAGAAACATTAAAAGGATAACGCAGCCTTGTACATTTTGTACCGAGCTATTGATGAATCCATCTTTAAGAAGATAATAAGTGCTAAGACCTCAAAAGAAGTGTGAAATGTGTTAGAGAGAGCATACAAGGACGATGATCGAGCCAAACGAGTTCGACTACAAAACCTATGTAACGAGATGGCGAGCATGAGAATGAAAAAGTCAGAAGGAGTTTCCAAATCCGTCACGTGTGTTGAAACCATGGTGAACCAACTTAATTAGAATGGAGAGGCATTTTCTGAAAATGGTATTGTGGAGAAGATCTTGAGGTCATTAATCGATGATTTTAATAATGTAGTGTATGCAATAGAGCAATCAAAGACGCATCTGAACTAATGGTACAAGTGAGAAAACTCTTTACTCTCAAAATACTCTAGGTAAAAGATGAAGTCATAATGGTCGAGGTCGATGTGGTAGAGGTCGTGAGGAGAAAGAAAAATATCATCAAAGTTAATGTGATAGGAAACGTGGTCGAAGAAAAGGTCAGTCGATGAGTCACTTAAATATTGAATGTTTTAAGTGTGGCTATGATCACTATGCCAAAGATTATTACACAGATAAGTGTTACAATTGTGATAAGGTATAACATTAGCGAAAGAATGTCGAGCTAATAAAAAGGTGAAAGAGACAACCAACCTCGCAAAAGATGTGGAAACTGGAGGACCTTTATTGTTGATGGTCAATCACAACTCGACAATACACATGGAAG